AGATGGAAAAGTAAGGATTCTTAGGATTGTGAATGACTCCCTACATGACTGCATGTAAGTCTGACCTGCGATGATACTGATGCAGCGCCCTTGTAGTGCAAATACTTTGGATATATACTTAGAGTGACCCCAGTTCAATGGTGCATATGACATTCTTGAGTCGCAGTATCCATAATATGTGGTTAGCAGCATATCACCAGAATTACAGCTTCTCAGATTCCTAATTGAAAAAATGGTTTTTGAGAATATTGTTTGCATGTTCTCAAGTCCTGTGTATCAATATTGACACCCAACAAATTTTACTGTGTCTATGGTATTAACATGATTACAGGACGAGAAACAAATGGGTTCAGTTCATAAAGTATTGATATGCAGTGGACTGTTCTTTTGTTTAGAAGACCTAATGAATACTGTTCTGACCTACATACTTAATGTAATTCAATGTTTTTATCGGATTTTCCTTTTATCTCAAACGCCAAATCCTTTACTGCGACAGCGACTCGATATATCTCATCTTGCTTGATTGTTATATTCAAAGGGGCTTTAACATTTATAATCTAAGCCTGAGCTAGACCTAAATCGTAACTCCCTGCCTTGATCTCCAGGCCGAAGCTACTCAACCCGCTCCCGTCAAAATGGTCTCAAGCGGATTAAGATGTCTGTTAGCATTTAATAATGCATGCTTTTGGGCAAACGGACCGGTAAATTGATGATTACTGATAACTGCATTGACTAAGACAGGAATAGCAATCTTTGGATTCTTTTCGACATAGTTCATAGGACTATAATTATGAAGAGCTTGAGAGTTGACGTAATACAATATTATAAAATAATGATGGTATAAGCTTGCTTCCTGGGGCCAACATAAATAATAAATAGCTCGATGATGATATGTTTTATGTTATTAATTGTTTGCAGATTATTTAACTAATTTATACAAAAGTGGCGTCAAGTAGATTGACTTGATAGATATACTTCCTACGCCGTTGTTGGAGATTTCAAAGAAAAGAGATTAGTCAAGACATTTCAAAAGGCGGAACCAAATTGTGACTAGGTAGGTTCACTTAGGTACGATGAATCTTCGATCTCTACTTATCAAACTATAAAAATATATTTCTTTTCCCATCGCAGATGTAGAGAAAACGTGTGTGACTCATTATGTCTGCATAATATTATCGGGATCAGCAGCTTCTTAACAATAGACACACTGTCACCAAACATGCAACAATTTGCAACCATTTACCACATACGACTTGGAACCTACAATATTCAACCCCTCCAAGCAATGTCTGGAGATGTACAGGAATCTCTGAAACGTAGTGGTAGTAGTAGATTATTGGCATTTTACACAAAGTCTGTTTATGCAAGTCAATAGGCGACTTTGACCGATACTAATGACGGTACAACCCCGTACATCCTTTAAGCCCCAATCCCCAGTTTATAATCTTTACAAATATTTTTCGAGAACGATCAAGAGCTTCTGGAAAGTCCAAAGAAGATTTTCTCTTTTTCCTCTTCCTACTGCCGCCACTGAACCGCTTTTCAAAAGCTACTAACCTTTTTCATCCTTGGCATAGTAGTAACACTGTGTAAGAAATTAATCAAAATCCGCACGGGTATCATGTAAAAAACCTATAAAACGTAAAAAAACCTATGTCAACTTGCAGACTAGGAACTTTTTAGGGCACAAACAGTAATTCCACGTTTGCTCACTAGGATCGTTGTGAACGTCCTTCTATGGAGGAATCACTCAACTAAACTACGCATTATTGGTTGCATAGTTTTGTGAGGCTTTTGTGAGGGGAAATCATCACCGCGCCCGCGTTGTGTGTAATTACTGTTACCATGTACATGGCTTGAAATTCGGCGTACAGTGAATATAATTATTTCTTATCTCTCTCGTTTTTGAAATTCAGCAAATTTGTATATGTAATTTCCAGAATGGATAATAAAAAGTGGATGCGCAACTAATTTCTAGCTTTGAATCTCAATTAAGTGTATTTGATACAAGAAACCAATGTAATTATCATTAACAAATACATATTACAGCTTAGACCTCCAGTAATGCCATCTCAGAAGCAGATTTTACATCACATCAGAGCCAAAGATTAATAACAAGCCTCATGACGTTTAGACAACACGTACAACTAACTGCTAAGTTAATATCTTGTAGAAAAAACCGACATAATGTCAAAAAAAATCGGCATAATGTCACTTTTCAAGATATGTGATATCCGTGCGGATCGATATATGCTTGAACAACGTTGGTGAGCACTCAAAATTGGACGCTAGGACGAAGACCCCCATTTTTACCGAAAAATCATTTCTTCGGATGAGGCCCATTTTCATCTTGGCGGCTACGTCAGTAAGCAAAATTGCCATATTTGGTGCAAAGAATACCCAAATGAAAATACCTAAAAGCCAATGCATCTGCCACGCGTGACTGTGGTTTGTGGTTTGGTGGCATTATTGGCAGCCACTTTTTTTGACGAGGACCAAGAACGCGCCGTCACGGTCATTGGTGTGCGCTATCGGAGCATGCTAACTGACTATTTCTCTCCGGAAACCAATAAAAAGACTTGGATGGCGTGTGGCTCCAAGAAGACAGCGCGACCTGCAACACAAACCTCGAAACAATCGCTCTTCTTGAAGAACAGTTTGAAAACCGCGTAATCAGCCGTTTTGGTGATGTGACGCCAAGCTGCGATTTGGCTCCATTGAATAATTTTTTGTGGGGAAGCGTAAAAGAGAAATGCTATACGGATCCATTTGAAAAAAGAAATCTGCGCTTACATTTCATCCATCGATTTAAAAATTAACCAACAGATGAATCACCTTTTAATAATAATAATAATAATAATAATAATAATAATAATAATAATAATAATAATAATAATAATTTATTGATGTTAATACACAGAAAGTGTTTACACAAGTCAATATATACTCATCGAACGCTTAGAAAAATCTACATCAAACATGAATAAAACAAGTTAAAAACAATGCAATGCTGCGTAACGCATAATTACCAAAAGCAAATTGAAAAAAAAAACAATACAAAAATGTCATGAGATAAAAGAAGATCGCTAAGAAAAATATATGTATAATACAATTAACTATACACATACAGACAAACAAAACAATAACAACTGTACATAAGTTGGAGACAGAAATGAATAAACATTTAAGGTATATCAGTAAAGTCATTTGCCAAATATTCGTCAGTGCTAAAGAATGCGTTTTTTATTAAATAATACTTTAGTTTCCTATGAAAAACACCAATATCCAATGTTTTTATATTGTTGGGTAGCACACTAAAAAATTTAATGCCATAAAAGTTTGTTCCAACTCTTGATTTTTCTAGACGGTAGTTATTATGGCAAATGTTGTTTCTATTTCGTGTTTCATATTTGTGGTTATCACTATGAGTGGGGAAGGTACTAATGTTACTTTTGATATATATGAGACAACTCAAAATATACGCGCATGGAAGGGTTAGTATGGCCAATTTAATGAATTCAGCCTTGCAGGGGTCTCTATATTTCAAACCAGAGATGTATCGTATACAACGCCTTTGCATGCCAAACACTTTTTGCATATGTGGAGAGTGTCCCCAGACCAAAATTGCATATGTCATTTTAGAGTGGAAATATGCATGATAAGCAGTTAATAAAACTTTATCAGATACTCTATCCTTTAGACTACGTATGAGATATATAACTCTGGACAAACGATCCACCACACAGCGAGTATGCACCTCCCATGTCAGAGTACAGTCAATATGAACGCCTAGCAATTTCACTGTTTGAGCAGATTCCAACTCATGACTGCGTAAGCTTAGTATTATAGACTGAGTTTTATCAGTGTTGATCAATAGCATATTGGCAGCAAACCAATCCTCAAGGTTCGACTTACACAATGAACTAGTTTCGACAAGGGTGTTTACATATTTATTAGAATTTACCAAAGTAGTGTCATCAGCATATAAGAACAAAGCAGCATTGTGCGTATCTGACAGGCTATTGGGGATATCATTAATGTATAATAAAAACAGCAGTGGTCCCAGTACGGAACCCTGAGGAACTCCATGGATCACTGATCTGGTATCAGAGTTACAGCCATTGAAATGTACTAGTTGTTTTCTGTCTGATAAGTAAGAGTCTAAAATTTTGATGCTAGAAGGATGAATGTGATAATAAGGTAATTTTTTTATTAAAATACTATGCTGCAGACAATCAAAAGCCTTAGATAAATCGAAAAGGTCCGCCTTGGTATGTAGATGGTTCTCAAATCCTTCGTTAACAAGATCTATAAGACAATTGATAGCTGTAGTAGTAGATCTGTTCCGTCTAAATCCAAACTGCTTGTCATTAAATAATTGACTTGACTCTAAATGAGAGGTTAGTTGATCTTTTAGCAGAATTTCAAAAATCTTAGCAAAGTATGAGATTAGAGAAATTGGTCGATGGTTGGAAAGCACATCACCCGATCCATTTTTAAGTATTGGAATGACTTTGGATATCTTGAGAATTTTAGGAAAAGTACTATTTCGAATACAAATATTAAAAAGTTTAGCGAGTGGAATGATAATCAGATTCATTATGGTCTTTATAATTTTTGAATTCAATTTATGTACATCTGTACTCTTAGAATTTTTTAGTGATGAAATCGCTGATCTGACTTGATTGTAGGATACTTCTTTGAACAAGAAAAGGTCGATGTTATCAGTATGAACCAAGTAGTCTAGTGCATCACGATTTGCTGGAGGAATATTGTCAATGAGCGTCTGGGCTATACTTGAGAAGTATGAATTGAATTCGTTAGCATTCAAGATGTTGCTTTTGTTCTGATTATTAGCTGGAACATTTGATCTAATAATATTCCACATTGCTAGCTGCTTGTTGCTCGAATTGTTTATATACAAGTCGTGTGCTTGTTTTTTGCTATTAGTGATAGCCTGTCGATATTGTGATCTATACTCGTTAACAGCTTGTTTGGTAACTATTTGTGGGTTAACCTTGTACCAATCCATCAGGAGCCTAAAACGGTCTCTCATAGCACGCAAATGACTGTCAAACCAATTTATTTTTCTTCCCCCTTTATTATCGCTACCAAAGATACGTGATTTATATGGAAGGCATTTTTCAACTTTACTGCTGATTAGATGAATTAATGTTTCAAAGGCTTGCTCGATGTTATCATTTCCCCCGATGAATGACCAGTCAACCTTCTCAATTTCCATGTACAGATTGAAAAGACCCTCATCCGTAATTGGCCTAAAAGTAACCCTGTTGAACGTTCGTAAGTTCTTACTTTGCTCACATGTAAATTCAATTGCTAGCTTTTATAAGTGCTTCAATATTATTATGCTGTTGCTGTAAACTTGTACGTTTTGAATGTTATTTCCAGTTGCCCTTTGTTTGCAATCTTATTTTGTATAAATGTTTCCACCCGTAAATTAGGTAAATGAATAGTTATTATTTTGATTTCAAATTGGTGTAAGTGAACGCATCAACGAAGAAATCTGTGAAATAAATGTTCCAAGCGTATGTGTGTGTCTGTGTAACTTCAAATTGCTCACACACAATGTCTGCAGCTGGATTTCAGTAAACATTATCTGATTGTGATGTTCCGCTAATTGATTTGCTTGAAACAATGTTGCACTAGGCTGCATCGAATAGACTATACGTATGGTTCTGACGTGGATCAAAACTCCTATCTGAAATGGAGTAACTGTCTGGTATATTGACAATAGAGTATTGAGGTAACTTAGCACGTTGAAACTTTAGAGCTGAAACAGATTATACTGAATGCAAAAATACGATTAGTATGATGGGCTAATCGGTGAGGTCCTTGGAAATTATTGGACCTCTTATCTTCTTAGAAATTATTGGGTTGTCTTGGACTTCCTCGGTTTTTCTTTTAGTAAAAGATCCGAATTAGAAACGACCACCCATTCATTTAATGTATTTTGTATCTAATTTTTGTATGTGTTGTATGTATTCCCAGTACACAAGATTCTAAATTCTTGATTCTGTTTCCCAAAATAGTCACTTTTTTATATTAAGTTGGCATGATAACCAACAAAATGGAATGATGTTTTAGTCAGCTCAACTTTATTGTACTTAAGGTTCCTTTCTTTACGAAAAGAAAAGCTAATTTCAATGAACAATGTTTGAAATCTTCGTCATTAAAATCGATCAGATATAGACATAAGCATAAGAGTTAATATAAATCTACTATTTGACAACACGTGATATAACTTGAACTGTAACCTACCGCATTATAGAGGGTGTTACAAATATTACTATTATTCTGATCGATGAAAAGTCATTTACCGAGTTTTTAATTAATCATTATCCAGCCAGGAATTTCTTAGCCAACCCATACTCGATATATTTTTAACATACTAAATTTGAAATTGTTTGTTTGATTGTTTATAATTTGGATCTTAGACCCTCTGTATCCTTACTGGGTAAAATGGTAAGGTTTACTAAGAATCAGTAGAGTGAGTACAACACCAAAGTCGATGACAGCATCAAAATTGCGCGAATAGTTTGAATTTGGCGGTAAGGTTTGAATTGATGGGCGTGGTCACGTGACGTTTTATTGTCCTGTGATTAGTGGGGAGAAAGACGTCTGACAGTGTTATCGATGTGCGAACTGTATGGTTTGTTCCAGAATAAACGGGGAATACGTTCATTTGATATTGTTTCGGGACTAATTCATTAACCGAAACATATATTCTGAATGAAGTTAGGAACATCCACTCACAAACCTCCTAAAAAAATGACACCGAGTAGATTGACTCTACAGGGTGACTTTGAAGTTGAGTCATTAATTTTCAGATAATGATTGTAGAAGGAAGATAAACCAAAATATGTGTGTAAAAATAAAAAAAAATTAAAAAAAAATGTTACCTTGTTTTATAAAGTATCCTCCCGACAAGTATTTCAGTGCGGACCTGTATTTGATCGTGCGGTCTTGGAGCACCGGCATGCCCTCCCCTGTGAGGTCTTAAGTCACCTGATTCACGAGCCCTTCAGCATTTTCGTAAACATGTGCCATTTTTTATTTCGTTTGAGCCACGCAACAGACACCACTATTCACTCACGCGTTACCGACTGACACTGACTGTATACAACTGAATAAAACAATTGTAAAAACATCGTTCCAAATTCTATCGCTTTTTTTGGTTCCGATGCGATGAACCGATAAGGCGGATGATATCCGTTGTTGCCAAACACGAGCACATAATATTATTATTGAGACAGGGCGGTACTCAAACTTCCAAAGGGCTGTAACTTTGTTACTTTAATTTTACCAGAAAAATGGTAAAGGAAAAAAACATTTCTTTTGATCAGATCTACTCACTGTTAAAATAAATGACTCAACTTCGAAGTCAGTCCAACGCTTTCGAAACAACTTCTAGTACAGTTTTCCATGTAGCGCAGTGAATAGAATTAAAATGACGTAGGTGTTGTCAGAACCATTAGTGCATTATTTGAGCTTTTCATAAAAAAAAATCTTATTTCTTGGGAGATATGGTGTAAAGCTGTTTGATAACTGATCTTAATAGCTGTTGATACCTACTTATAATCTATATATATTATACTACGTAATATTAACTCAAATCAATACTATCACATCTTCCTCGTATGTGCATATCGCGTCACGGCGTCATCTGCTACTCACTTTTATAAGTCCCTGGTAAATAAGCAATACTTACAACTCCGTGGTGCACAGCAAGTGCGACCGATAGATATGCGAACCGTCTGCAGAAAATATATGCTCTGAGGGCAAACGAAATCTATGATGTGCGAAATAGTCGTACGTCTAAAAGGTGCGTAGCATTATCGGTGACGGGAGTGTATTAATACACAAAAATGAAAAAATTGCGATACACCATCTCCCATCCTCTTAGAACCTCCTAACTCCCAATTTTTTACTCCTAAACATGTTGTCAGAACGTCAAAAAATCTTCAATTATTTTTTTTGTATTGGTCATTTATTTCTCCGCGACTACTGGAATGATTTTCAAATACTCTATAGCTTTTTTGTCTTTGGCACAGCAGCAATATTGTTTAAAAGTTTTATCCAAACCCGAGCAGTACTTTCTAAGTTATAGACGGGCAGACAAGCCGACAGACAGACAAGCCGACAGACAGACAAGTCGACAGACAGACAAGCAGACAGACAGATCGAAAAACCGAAAGGGAATGAGTGACATGATGATTCATGGTGTACATGTCATATAACATCGAAATAACATAATATCTTATTTTCGAAATTTTTCGCGATTACAATACTTGAGAAGGCGTGAGAATTGAAAATGGCAAAACTAGAAACTAGAAACTAACTTCTGAAATAACTGTATTGGCGTAAGACCACGTAAAACAATAAATTCAAAAACGTTCCTTTTATATAGCGGGCCATGGCATATTAAATTTCACTACTGACAGAATGTGAGCTAAACTCATTTTCTGGGTATTATGCGCTGCTTTCAAAATAGAAATTGCATTACCTTCAGTAGCTCCGTAACTCGATTATCCGCATTATTTGACTTCGCTGTGGATACCTCATGTATATCTTCCTTATACACGGGTTAATATTTCACTATCGGATCCCTATGGACTTTTCCTCCATTTTCTGGGAAATATGAGAGCATCTTTGCACATTTTGTAGTTCAAACTAGATATCACAGGGTAAATGTTTGGTGACGCAACAATCTGGTACAGCTTCATGCTTCCAACACAGTAGTGTAACTTGACGAACAACAAGCGCCCCAGCGATCATACGGTTTGGATGGATGGCCTAGTTCTACCAAAGAGCTGTTTATTTCAGCTGGTCGGACTCCCGGTCATCAACAAATCAAACAGGCACGAACACAACTGGTCAATTACGACAGTTGTTGGGAAAAGGCTAGGCTACTTGTTTAGAGCTAAGAAGTACTTTTCTCTACATCATTCTGTACAAGGCTCAGGTAAGACCTAGCCTCGAGTATTGCTCTCATGTTTGGGATGCTGCCACTCCGTCTACATTGCCCTGCTCACCGCTATCAGAGGACTGCTGTCCGACTGATCGATGACTCTTCTCTAAAGGACAGTCGACGATCTAGCTTTCGCCTGACTTCGGCCTTCCATCCTAACCGTGTCAAACTGCGTATATCCAGAACTGGCGGATTCGATCGCTACTTTGTCCATGGGATATCAAGATTGTGGAACAATCTACCGGAAGAGGCTTTTCCTGCTTCTACCAACCCGAGGCAGTTGAAAAATCGGATCAGCAAAGTTCCTTCGAGCAGCCAGGGTACCCTGGTATTTAGGCTTCTGCCTACGTGGCTCTTTCTGTTTACAAAAATATGTATTTGTTACCAGATACAAAATATCCGAAATATTAGATACAAAATACGTATCTTTTAAATACTTTCTGAAGATAAAATAATTTTTTAAGAGAACAATTTTGATTTTGAGTTTATATCATTAAATGAATTATCTGCGGAAAGATCGCGTTGATCGCGCAAATGTGACAAAATATTATACTTTTAAGGTTTTAATTGAGACCTAAGTAAAAGAATTGTTTCAAACGTTTTATGTCGTTTAGATAAGGCCACATTGTCATACCCCCAAAAGAGAAGATTTGCTCTTAAGGGGCACCACCTGGCAAACAGCTGTTTAAAATGTATATTTTTTATTACAGGTATCTTTATTAGCGGTGCTCTCAGTAGACCCCGTGTTGTCACTGTTTTTACAGAATCCTCTAATAACATGTAATAAGATTCGCTTTTTGACTTTTTTATTTTCCCTCGAATATCGTCTTTTATTTTTTAGATGAATTAATGTTGTTTCAATTAATACCTTTATGCGCCTCAGCCGATGACATTTGTAGAAAAAAGGAGCCGCCATCTAACAATTTGGCATTCATACTAAAGTTTGAAAGGTGCCTTCAGTTTCTATGGTGGCATGGAATGTGAGAAAATGCACATGTAACTACTACTAAAAGTATTTTAGCGAGCATAGTTTTCACAAAATACTAAGATATCAGAGGAAATGTAAAATACAAGATATAAGATGAATTTTAAAAACATATTTCAGATACAGGTTGAAAATATGAATGTTTTATCTTCTATCTGTATTTTAGATACTTGTATCTGTATATCTTAAATAAGTCACAATTCTGCGCAAGCATAAGTTCTTGACGTACCGTCTGTTAAAAATAAATAAAGTGCATAAAACTACTGCATCTCCAAATACCTAACTGATAACATCCAGGTCTTTCTTTGCAGTTGCTGCCGGAGAGACC